TGGTGTTTGGATTTACATTTCCCCGATGTCTAGTAAGGCAGTTCATATTTTCAAGTGGTTACTGGCCATTTGAATATCATCTCTGGAGAAATATCTATTCAATGTTTTGCCAAGTTTTAAATTGGATTACATGTCTTTCTTTTATTGAGCTGTATTATATGGTAAAAATGCTACTAAAAAATCCCTTATCAGGTGTGTGATTTGCATATGTTTTCTTTGATTTATGGATTGCCTTTTACTTTTCCTGACAGAGACCTGAGATACACAAAAGATTTTTGTTTGTTATTTATACTTTGGTATCATAGCTACGAATGCTTTGCCTAATTCAAGGACACAAAGATTTATTTCTATTGTTTCTTCTAGAAGTGTTATACATTTTGATCTTATATTTAGATATATGATCCATTGTCAGTTGAATTTTGTACATGATGTGAAGTTGTGGTCCAAATTATAATAAAAATAAAAATTCAGTTGTACCATGAAGGTCACGATGTTTGGTGGCAAGTGCCCATACCCACTAACCCAGATCACTGTCCCAAGGGAGAGCATTCTTGTTATTTTCATTCCTTTGTATTTTATTACTTTATATACTTCTTAAGGCTTAGGCTTCTCTTTTTCTTTTTTATTTCTTTCCTTTTCCTCTTTTTACACTGAAATGGATGCTTGACACTTTAACTTTTGGTATGACATCACTGTTAAAGACTTCCTCTATCTAAGTTCCACTTTAATTGTCTTTCTCAAGTTTTGATTATTGTTAGATTAAAAATATTTACAATTCTACTGTGATTCTTTGACTCATCAGTTATTTCTGAATGTGTATCTTGGTTTCTTACTATACCAACATTTTTCAGTGAACGAGATTTATTTCCATTATGATCAGAACTCAATTCTTTGAAATTTGTTGAGCTTTCCTCTTTGGTCAATTTTTGTAAATGTTATGTATGTGTATGCTGTCATAGTTGGTGACAGTGTTCTGTACAGTAGTTACTTATTAACTTAAGTTATGAGTAATGCAGTTAAAAGTATCATTATTACTGCTTTTATTCATCCCATCCACATGTTTTTTCCCCTTTCATATCCCAATCAAAAAGAAAACTGAACAGTGGATGTCGTTTAGCAGTTGACTGCATGCTTAGCATGTGCTTGTGTGAGGCCTTGAGCTCCATCACCAGCAGTAAAATGAATCAATGAATGACCCAAGAATCTCTTTACTTGTTTAGAAATTTACATCTTTTAGCTATTATGTTAATTATTGTATTCAATCAATTGTTACCTTATCAGGCTACAATGCTCACAAATACCAAAGTCACTTCTGATAAAATACAAAGTTTTTCAAAAACTTTAATTTTATGACCTTCATGATGACTTTCCATATTGTATAATAGTTTACTTTTAAAAAGCCGATAAGAGGGGCTAGAGCTAAAGCTCACTGGTTAAAGAGGGTTTCCTGCTGTTCCAGAGGAGCTGAGTTCAATTTCCAGCTGTGGGGTCTCTAACACCTGTGGCTTTTGAGGACTCTTGCACTCCTGTGGGTAGACTCTGCACTCATGGGGGTAGACTCACATACAGATACACACAGACATAAAAATTTTGAACATCTCAAAATGAATCCGAATAGAGTTCTTATCTGTGTTCTTAGATGTCACATTTACTTTTTTCTTGTTCTTGCTTATGTTGCCCCAATATTATTGCTTTCCTGCCATTTCATTCATTTGTACATCTTGTTACCCTGATCTCATTCCCTCCTGAGTAAATCTTTAGAATTTCCACCAATGAGATAGCCTGATGAAAACCTCACCGTTTTTATTTTCTAAAACCATATTGTTTTTCTGAATATTATCATGATTGATATTGTCCTGAAGGCATCAGGTTACCATGGCTAGGTAATACGTCTATAAGCATCTCTATGGTGGCTTTCACTTCAGATGAGTCAAAAATGTAGTAAGAAGCGCCCATCTGCATCCAGCTTCATGGGTGGGCTCACAATGCCTATCTCAGTAGAGTTGCTGAAATCTTTCAAAACAGATGATGGGTGGGAAACATCTGCCTCAGAGCACAAAGGCAGCCAAAGATAGTTATTATTTCTAATGAACACTTTATTTCTTAATCTTTCAGGCATGAAGGTTTAATTTATACATCTGGAAACTAAATATGACCATTTTAGGGTCCTCAGAGCCCTTATAATTGGAAACCCCATTCCTTTAGCCCTGTGCTTGCAACCCAAGGCCAGGGATAAGATATACTTTCTATGAAATTTAAGCCACTTTAGCAAGCGTTCCTCTCAGCATCACATGAAGAGACCCTGGTGTTCTTCTGATTATCTAAGCCAGGAATCTTTGCATGATCAGCATTTTTTAAAATCAATGCTCTGATACCTAGTCTTTACTTATTTTGATGCCACCAGGACCTACTGCAGGTCACCAGATCTGGTGGTGAACCTAATTCAAAGGCAGAAGAAGATTCTGCTTAGAGGCCAGATTCAAGTGCCATAGTATTGGAATTCAAACACAAAAACTATTGAAGACAAATCCAGGAGAAGAAAAGTCATCTTAGAGCCCAGAGAACAAAAGCCTGAAAAAACAAAAACAAAAATAAAAAACCACAAGCTGCTGCCAGTCTTATTCCAATTGTGTGAGGTGAGCAGCTTGTTTTAGTTAGGGTTTTCTTGCTGTGAAGAGACAACATGACTATGGCAACTCTTAAAAAATGAGCATTTAATTGGAGCTTGTTGCTCAGTGCTCCCTTCTCCCCCTCAGAATAGCTAGCTTGGGGGCTTGCTTATAGTTGCAGAGGATGTGTCCGTGACCAATATGGGAACGAGGCGGCAAGCAGGCAGACTGGTGCTGAAGCAGTAGCTGAAAGCTTACATCTTATCCACAGCAGCAAGTACAGAAAGAAAGACCAAGCAAAGTCCCAGCGACCAACATCCTCCAACAAGGTCACACCTCCTAATCCTTCCTAAACATTTCTAACAACAAGGGAACAAACATTCAAATATATGAGCCATATATACATATAACTTATCTTCACTATGCCTACCACATGGAGCTGTTCCTTCTTTGTGGCCAGTAAAGCCAAATCCAGGAGAAGAAAAGTCATCTTAGAGCCCAGAACAGAGCAACACAGAAACTGAACTAAAATATACAAGAGTTCTATGAGGGGCAGAACTCTAGCACTGTCATTGGGTAATCTAGTCAAACTGTGGTCTGTGTCATTTTTAAGACAGACTCTCACACAGCTCAGGCTGTTGTTGAACTGATGAAGATGAAGCTGAACTGCTGATGTTCTGATGTCCGTGCCTACATCTCTCAAGTTCTGGGATTAAGGGCGTGTTCCATCATGCCTGGCCTAGACTGGGTTTTATTTCACATACATGTAGGATTAAGATAATGCAGAAAGATAGAACAGGAATTTTTATAAGCTCTAGTATTCCAGACCAATTAAAATTTATGTTTTAGAATATACAGTCTACAGTAATATTTGTATAGTCCTCCATAGTTTTTGCCATCTCTGGCTCCTGGCCATTTTCTGGAGCACTTTAGCCACCTCCTGGCTTCTGAGTGAGAGAAGGGCTCATAGCTCAGGGAGTCTCCTGGCTTATAGCATCAAGAATCCCTCTCCGGTTGCTATAGCTGCGGCAGCAGCTGAATGTCTGGTTTTTATTAGCTCTGGTTTTTATCAGTTCAGCCTGCTGTATCTGTGATAAAGACCACAAATGTACTCTGACTGTTGACAAAGGGACCAGTTGGCTGAGAGCTCCCACTTCAGGGTAGACAGACATAAGGGGAAGGGTCTGTCAGCTGTCATCCAGGGAGCTAAAGGCCCACTCCCAATAATTTGCCTAGCCATAGAAACAACAACAAGCAAACATTAAAGGATGTTTATAATAAAGACCGAAGAAATTAGCATTCATTGTAGTATTCAGCAATGTTTAAGCTGGGCATGGTGACTCATGCCTGTAATAGCAACAATTAGGATGCTGAGATAGGAGGATTGCCATCAGCTCCAGGTCAGCCTGAGCTACACTGAGAAGAGTACCAGACCAGCCTGGGATATATTATGAGACTCTGTCTCAAAACAACAACAACAACAAAACAAACAAACAAAACAAAAAATTAGCATAAAACGCAATAACTAACCCCTAACCATGTGCCTTTAGGGAGAGTTGGGTCCTTCTGATTATTTACACCTTAGAATCATCATCAGTTCAAAATATAAAACACAAAATTTTGTCCTAAGCCTCTAAATAAACCAGAATCCTCCAGAGATGGGATCCTGTATTCCTAACAAGATCCCAAAAACGGCTTTTTAAATTTTTCATATATATTGAACAAGGGTCTTATGTACATCCCAGATTGGTCTTGAACTCCTTATGCAGCTAAAGCTGGCCCTAAATTCCTGATTCTCCTATCTACCCCTTGCGAATGCGGTGATTACAGGCATTGGCTTCAAAATAGCTTTTTAAACAGGGTCTAATGTACCTCAGACCGGCCTCAAATTTCTGACCCACTTACCTCTACCTCTCAAGAGAGCTGGATTACAGATGTACACAACCCTGCTGAGCTGCCCAAACCTTTCTGAGGCAGGCAGCTAAGAAGCCTATTATATCCCCCTTTTTCTCTTTTCCCTGATTTGGGTTCCACCTTGTCATACATGCACACCTGGCTTCAAGACACAATACTGGGCCAAGGGAGAAAAGGAAAGGCAGAAGGGAAGAGTGGAGGGAAAGAGTCACAAACACAGGGATACAAAGCAAATTAGCTCTCTAAGCTAGACAAGCAACTCTGGCTACTAGACCCTGTTGCATTTGGTCCTTCACCCCTCCCCGCAACCTTCCTCCTCCCCTTTCCTTCCTCTCCCCTCCCCTCTTCCCTCTTTCCCCCCCCCATCCCCCGCTGCTTCCCTTCTTCCCTTCCGGCTTCCCCCCACCACGGCCCTTAAGGTTTGGGCCGCTAGGAACCGCCCTGGCACTCCACTGATTGGCTCCGCTGGCTGTCTCGTCACTCCTTTGTGTCGTTAGGCAGCTGATAAAAGCGTTGCAGCTGCCTTGGAAACTGAGCTATTTGAATCCTGTTACCTCTGGGTAGGTAGCTGGGTGAAACAGCTCTTTCTGGTAGCTTCGGGTCGCCCAGCGGCTCTGGAGGCTCCAGCACTTTTCTCCTGCAGGGCGACGGGACTGAAAGGCAGAATCCGTAGCTGAAGACGACATGTAACAGCCGCTGGCCATCAGCGGATTGCAGGTTTAAAAAGCGAGGGACGGGGGAGATGCGATTGCTGGGTTTGGAGAGGGAAGGGATTGGGGGTGGTGAAGGGAAGCCCGCGCATACTAGGTGGCTCTTTGCCTCAGAAAATCAGCAATTGTGAAGCTGGGGAAGAAGCATTTGCATGGCCTGACTGCATTGGGATTCACCTGGGAGACGCTGCTTGGTAGGATTTGCCTGGCCAGGGAAGGGGTTGGGGCAGAGGCCACCTGGGGGAGCGGGAGAAGGGATTATGTTTGCCGCGAACCCCCTATACATCTCTCCTAATTTCTCTGGGCACTGTAGGGGTGGGTGTGTCCAACTCCTCTTCCCTTTCTCGGCAGCAGTCCATCAAAGCAGAATCTGAACTTGAATTCGGTGCAGCTGATTTAGAGCTAGGTAGGCTGATGCTATCTCGGGGTGCAATGTGTGTTTTTTGGAGGGAGGAGGGGGTGTCATTTTGTATTGTATTCAGAAGGTGGGAGAGGGGATTTTCTGCCTGGTGACAGCAGAAGTGGGCGTGAGGAAAGGGAGGTGGGAGGGAGTATCAGGAGGGCCATGATGATGATGAAGTCTGTTTCTTATCCTTCCCTTGCCCCCCCCCCCCCCCGCGATGTGGCGCAGTTTTGATGTTCTGAGCGCCAAGATCTGCGGCCCCCTGTGGACCGAGGTCGGTCAACTGTACCCTGAAAGAGAGCTTTCTCACTGGAGGACACAGGCTGCAGAGGCTGGAAATACTCCAGTTGCCCAGCTGGTGTAAGAATCTGAGAAATCACAGGTATGGGGTGGGGTTGGAAACTGGGTGGTCAGGAAAGCTTTCAGAGGGGCGTGCGGTTGAGATCAGAGATCATGAAGTTAGTGAGGTCTCTTTTTAACCCCTGCGAATTTGTGACTACTGTGCTTTATTTTGAGAGCCCAATCTCAGTTCTACGCACTGTTTAATCCAGATTTAAAGCAACAGTTGTGCTTCGTCTTACAGGACTGGCGGGAGGGAATGGATGACGTGGCTGTAAAAAGCACCCTGTTAGTACCTAGACATCAGCAAGCTATAGGAGGCTGCAATCGATCTCCTGCCTGATAATTTTAAGACAGTGGACGGATGTTTGGGCTATTGAGGGACGATAATTAGAGCTGTGCTATTCTTTTATTAATTCCCCCTTCCTGTTTTCTGTTTTTCTTTTCCAGCTCCTACTGAGATTGGAGACTGCAGCTCACCTGACGACAAAGCGTTTTCGTTTTGTTTTGTTTTCTAAAACGCCCTGAGCGTCTTGTATTAAGATATCCTATCACTGTTGTCAGACATGGCTAGCATCCTTGCACGTATTGGTAACGGTCGGGTGCAGAACTCACCCTTACCACCTTGGGCTCATTCCATGCTGAGGTCCCTGGGGAGGAGTCTTGGTCCTTTAATGGCCAGCATGGCAGAGAGAAACATGAGGTTGTTTTCTGGGAGGGCAGAGCCAGCCCAAGGGGAAGAAACCTTTGAAAACTGGCTGAGTCAAGTCACTAATGTCCTGCCTGATTGGCATATGACAGAGGAGGAAAAGGTCAGGCGCCTAATGAGAACCCTTAGGGGTCCTGCCCGAGAGGTCATGCGTTTGCTCCAAGTTGCCAATCCCAGCTTAAATGTGGCAGATTTTTTGCGGGCAATGAAACTGGTTTTTGGGGAGTCTGAGAGCAGTGTGACAGCCCATGGTAAATTTTTTAACACTGTTCAGGCTCATGGAGAGAAACCATCCCTGTATGTGATCCGCTTAGAGGTGCAGCTGCAGAATGCTATCCAGGCAGGGGTCTTTGCTGAGAGGGAGGCAAACAAAGCTCGCCTGCACCAGCTCCTTGTAGGGGCTGAGATGAGTAGAGACCTCCGATTCAGGCTTAGGAGTCTTCTCAGGATGTATGCAAATGAGCCAGAGCGGCTTCCCGATTTTCTGGAGTTAATCAGGATGGTAAGGGAGGAGGAAGAATGGGATGATACTTTTATTAGACGCAAGCGGCCCAGAACACCTGAGTCAATGATGGAGAAGGCACTCAGCCCTGTGGCACTTCAGGGCTCCCCACCAATAATGATCAGCAGTGCTGACTGCAATGTGATAGAGATAGATGACTCTCCTGATGATTCAGATGAGGATGTGATCTTGGTGGAGTCTGGGGACCCACTACTGCCGTCTTCAAGTGCCCCTCCCTTCCTAGGCAGGGCTGTATCGGAGGACCAAGTGCTAGTCATTGAGTCCCCCAACATTCCTGAGATTCAGTTTCCTTCTACAAGCAGTGGTTCTGGGCACAAGAACAATGGTTTTGGGGAGCGCCGTAGAACCAGGAAGCGAAAACATACAGTCCACTGTTCCCACTGTGGTGAGGAGGGCCACTCAAGAGAAACCTGTGACAATGAGAATGACAAAGACCAGGTTTTTGAGAATCTGATCATCACTTTGCAGGATCTTACACATACAGAGGAGAGGGCAAGAGAGGCCCCTGGAGAACCCATTAGCCTCTCTGAACCACAGTAAGATGCTATCCTCCGGCCTTAAATTAACCCTTACCTGTATTCAAAGTTCAATGATAGAAAAGTTGGGGGGGGGGATGACACACTTCTAATTGCATGAATAAATATGCAAAGTGGCTTTCTTTTGAAGTGGAGAAAGGTTCTTGAATACCAGTACAGTAAAGAGAAATGGCCTGGCCTTGTTCCCTTTCCCCACTGCCTAAGAGTCTATTTTCAGTGTGAACCTATCTCCTTGGTGGCTTTGTTTTCTATGTGAAAGTGGTATTGTTCATTGTTCAATCTTCAAGAAAGAAAAAAAGTACAAGTTACCCAGAACTCTCTACCTTGTGCAACAGTTGTCAGCCCTTTGGTGACTACCCTTCTAAATATTTCTCTATACCCATGTTCCTAGATAGAAATGTGTATAGACAAGAGTGATCAAATATAAGTGTTCTATATGCTGTATTTTTTCACCAAAATGTGTTGTGGCCTTCTTTGTCAATAAAAATATACAATATGTCAGCATCTACTTTAATGTCTCTGTGGTATAATTTTAGGAAGCAAAGGGAAAAAAAAGAAAGTATAAAGAGGTAGAATTACCATCTGAAGTGCTTTGTTTTTTAACAAAATTTTGATTTGAAGATAACAAAAAAGCCAGGCCTGGGGCCCTAGGATTTTAATCCCACCTATCTGGGAGATAGGAGGGGTTGGGGAGTGGGTAGGAAGATCTTAAGTTCAAGGTCTGCTTAAGCAACAGAGGGAGCTCAAAACCAGACTGGGAAAGTTACTTATACCTTTCTTAAAATTAAAATCAAAGTATCGGCTGTAACTCAATGACAGTAGTTGTTTAGCATGCATAAAGCTTCTCTGAGCCCAGTCCCCTACACACACACACACACACACACACACACACACAAAAAAAAAAAAAAAAAACAATAAAAAGAAATAAAGAACACTTGTTTAGCATGAATAAGGGTCTAGGCTCAAACTCCAATACACACACACACACACACACACACACACACACACACACACACACAATGAATGAGAGAGAGGAATTGAAATACAGAGCATTTTTGGTATGCATATAGCTCTAAGCTTAATCCCCCTGCCCCCAGCCCTGCTAAACACACATACAAACATACACAAAAGAAAAAGAAATTGGCTGAATAAATCTAAAGCAAAGGATCCCTTTGCCACAGCTGACTGGTTTTCTGCTCCATAGAGCCAAATTATGGCCTATATTGATTGACAAATCTTCATTGCTTTCTTTAATATTCCAGAGGAGTCTGCTGGATGGGAAGTCCAGTGCTAAAATAGGAGCCTAACATGAAAATTCTAGTGATTCAATTCCTGCTCACATTGGGAAGAGCATTTTGTCCTTTGGGTAACATATTTAAATTTTTGCTGTTGCTGCTGGGCATTGTGGTCTTTTCTTTGGGGTGATATGACCCTGTGCTGCCTCCCTGATTAAGAAGAGAAAAAAGCAGTTGCACTTAGCTAAGCATCAGCAGGCTCTGCTCCCGACAGGCCCAATTCTCATCCTATAAACTACAGGGCATAGGAGCTCAAGGATCCCAGGCCCCAATTCAATGTCAGATCACTTCCAATCTGATCCATTCATACAGAGGCACTTTACATACAGAGGACAACACTCTATATTTGTCAGGGCAAGGCAGTTTGGAGAGAGTGAAATTGACACATACATGTGAGTTCCTGAAAGAATTTGTCATGTAGGAAATAGGGGCTTTACATATCTGAGAGGGCAGTGGGAGCTTGTGTGTCTGGGTGAGAACAAGGAAGCTCTATAGCTGAGGGGGCAGGGGAGAGGGAAGGAGGTCTAGAGAGACACACATGGAGAGTGACAGGAATGCTGGTAGGAATCACAGACATAGGGTTTCATGCAGAAACCTGGCCTTTGCTGAACCAAGAGTGACCAAGATTCGTGGCTGAGGCAAATATTAGGGTGGTCATTTTGCTAGCACTTTTGGTCCACTTAGAAGAGACAAGAGGTCCAGAATGAGACCTGGTGGAGGCAGTAGACACCAAAGGCCACAAGAGATTTTGTTCAGAACCTGCTTTCAAGTATTTTCTTTTTCTCAGACCATCCCCTCAGGCCCCCACCTGACCCCAGTTTCTTGTTCTTGCTCCATTCTATGACCTCAAAATCTGTCCTCACAATCCCCAGTACCCCTGTCCCTGGAACCATACAACCCAGCTTTTTAAGCCTTAGCCTTTAAACACTCATGAACAGAGGGAAACTCTTTCTGAGCCTTTAGTTTAGAAGTCAGTCCTGAACAAAGGCTTAAGATGGACGCCCTTCCAACCCTCCAAAGCACTAGGCATCTCTGGCAGCCGCCACTCTCCAGAGCCTGAGAGGTGACTACCTGTGCTCCTGGGAGGAAACTGCTCTGGTTTCTCTGCCTCCTTCAGCCACAGGAGCTTCCAAAATCTTCTGGTTTGCATAAATTTTAACTTAATTTCCACCTGCCCCTCTATACACTAGCTACATTAGTTATTTTCCTCTGTGATGTGACAAGATCTTTGACCAAAGGAACCTATGGAACGGTTCATTTGGACTCACAGTTTAACAACGCAGTTCATCTTGGGGAAAGAGGCATGGTAACTAGAAGCATGGTGCAGTTGGCCACACTGCATCTTCAGTCAGGAAACAGAGAGGGACCAGTCCTGACAGTCCTCTCATTTTTTTTTTTCTTTTTAATTCAGTTTGGCTTACAGAACCTTTTCAGTTTCATGATCTCAGAGCCTGTGCTGTTGGTGTTCTGTTCAGGAAGTTGTCTCCTGTACCAATGAGTTCGAGGCTCTTCCCCACTTTTTTTTTTTTTTCTAACAGGTTAGATGTGTCTGATTTTATGTTGAGGTCTTTGATCCACTTGGACTTTACTTTTGTGCAGGGTGATAAATATGGTTCTATTTGCTTTTTTCTATATGTAGACAGCCAGTTAGAACAGCACCATTCGTTGAAGATGCTATCTTTTTTCCATTGTATGGTTTTGGCGCTTTTTTTTTCTGTCAAAAATCAGGTGTCCATAAGTGTGTGTTTATTTCTGGGTTTTCTATTCAATTCCATTGATCCACCATTCTGTTTCTTTGCCAGTACCATGTAGTTTTGATTACTGTTGCTCTATAGTACAGCTTGAGATCAGGGATGGAGATGCCTCCAAAAGATCTTTTATTGTACAGGATAGTTTTAGCTATTCTGTTTTTTGTTTGTTTGTTTGTTTGTTTTGTTTTGTTTTGTTTTGTTTTGTTTTTCCATATCAAGTTAATGACTTCAGCCCATGGGATGGATGGTACCACCCACATGCAGGATGGGTCTTTCTTCTGCAGTTGAACATTTTTTATGGAAACACTATCACAGACATCCCCAGAGATGTGCTTTCATAGTGATTCTGAATCCAGGTAAGTTGACAATGAAGTTTAATGCATCACATAATCCCTTGATGAATATCTGTCCCCAATGTCTAGCACAGTTTAAAAAGAAGTTTCATGTTCCAGATCAACTTTGTTCAATTCTACTCTCCAAATACTTGTTGAATCACTTGCCTGAAGACATAGATTATGCTGCCAACATTTTTTTTTTCTGGTGCCAGGCAGGGTAGAAACATAGAAAGGAAAAAAACAAATCCCATCTGTTCATGGCCCTCCTTCTCACTGGATCTAGAACAGCACGTAGAAAATTTGTTATGGGATCCCCAGGCTGTAGCCTTTCTCCACCTCTCCCCCAAGCTTCTGTTGGATACAAAATATTGTTTATTTTCTTTATTTTGCTGACCTAACATCTCTCTGTCTCTCTCTCTCTTCATTTTGTGAGACACCAACTTTTTCTTTATGTAAGAAAACCATGTTTTTCTCAGGTTGGATATCCAGATAGTCAGATCAGACCACTGAGACCATTAAATGAGGTGCTTGGGGCATTTGGGATGTAATAAACTTCCTTTTAAGCTATGGGCTTATTTTTTGTCTTCTGCCTCCACCCTCACTAGTTGCTATGGACTGAAAATGGCTTTTTGTCTTGTCTGAAGCATCTGGCCTCTAAGTTGCCTTTTATATTGTCTCTCTCCTTCCTGGTGTCTTTTCCCGTGGTTTCCATGACACCATTTTTTTCATGGCTCCCTCCTCTTCTGGCCTTTTTGGTACCCTATTCTCTGTTTGTATTGTATCATCTTTCTCTTTGTGGTCTTTGTAGAATCATAATAAAACTAGAATAAATATTACTCCTGAGATTTTTGAGAGTTGTTTGCCACGGCAAAGCTGTATGAAGCCCTTTAAATATATCTGCTTCTTTAACCCTCATACCAATCTTATCAAATAGGCAAGACTATTCTCTCATTTCTCTACTAAGGAAACAGGGTGAATATCTCAGAAACTCACCTGGAATTGTGGGGCTTGTAAGCTGGGCATCAGCTTCTAGGGCAGTGGTTTTCAATCTGTGGGTTGCGACCTTTCTAAAGGTCAAACAACTCTTTCACAGGGGTCAGCTAAGACCACCAAACCCATGGTAAAAATTACAGTTATGAAGTAGCAACAAAAATAATTTTATGGTTGGGGGTCACCACAATATGAGGAACTGTCACAGCATTAGGAAGGTTAAGAATCACTGTTCTAGGGTGACTGACTCCGAAGCCTGAATCCCTTCCCTAACTCATGGGTTTGTAGCATCCTGGCATGTAGCATGTCTTTTCACATACAAGGAAATGAAAGTTTGTAAATTCATAAGGCTTGCTGTTAGTAGACATGCTTTGGCTATGAAATTAACACAAGGTTAACCCATTAAAGGCTCTGGAGACATAGTGACTGCTAAGTTAGAAAGTGTTATTTAAGCTGCTGTGTTAGAATGTGTTACTTATCTGCTACAGAAGGAAGGACAAAAGAAATAAAATGCTGTCCCTGTTATGCACTCAGTGCTTACTTAGTGTTCATTTGAGGGTGTAACTGTCAGACTCCTTGAACTACACTGAGATTGGCTCCTGGCAGACATAATAGTCTGTTCAAAAATGTCTAGGTTTTGTTGATGATAGTGTTATGATAAGAGAGTATCTGTGGAATGTTACAGTGGATTTCCTGGGCAAAATCAACACTGCATGGCAGGGAGTGTGGTTTATGAATCTCAGGGGGAATTTCTATTATTTTTTTTTTTTACATGTTAAAGGCTTCTCCAGTCCATTTCCACTGTTCATAGCCAGCTAAGTCATTATCTTCAGCAATATGTGACAGAGAAGGGAGGGAGAGACTAATTTTAGAATGACACAGAACTTCCCCAATGCATGCAGGAAGGAAGCATGATGATTGATGTCTAAGGAGTCCTCACTATCCAGTTATGTGTTGCCACAGCAGGGACAGGATAAGAAGGTGCAGAATCCTATCTAGCATAATGCTAAAATATTTTGCAAGCATGGCTTGATGGAGTTAAAAAATTTCTTCTCCAGGCCTTAACTAAGAATCCATCCAGGAGTAAAAAGAGAGTAGGAAAGCATTTATCTACACACCATGACAGTTATGGCAGTA